AATGAATTCAAATCAGTTCATCTTTGGTCTTCCTTTTTCATTGTCCAGCTTTCACATGCATATGAGGTGACTGAAAACGATTAATCCTAAGAAATCTGTGCCACAAAGTCTAATTTCTGTCGATGGGAAGCATTCTCGTACTTACTCAAACCAGCGGGGACTGCTAAGGTCACCACCGTGGAGTTTGCTTCCAGCCAGCTGGCAAGACCTGGACACATCGAAGCAGCAGGGGACACCTGGGGCGAGGAAGCCTGGCCGTCACGGCCACGGAGCATTCCTGAGCACCGTGACAGAGCAGGGCAGACGGGTCGCCAGCTGGGCTGGGGTCACTCAGGTCACTTCCTGCTTCTCCCGCGATGCTCGGGGACATCCTAGAAACGTACATGCACCGTTTGCTCAGCGCCCCACAGTCGGGAGCGTGTGATTTGAAGTGACCGTGTTTAAAGCGTGAAGCCTTTACACGGCTCTCTAAGCCATCCGCTCCAGTGTAAGCTCCTGCTGGAATCCTGCTGGCAGACATTTGGACGATGGGAACCTGCCCCGACAGCCGGCTCTTCCTCGTCGGAGTCAGACTGTGCCCCTGTGTTTCTTGCAGGCCCAGCACAGCAGGAGCAGCAAAGCCGCACGTGGAAAGGCCTCCCAACTGGAGAAGGGACTGGGGCCATGCGGCGGTGGCTGGGCAGCGTCAGAACGGCCCAGCCGTTGCAGAGTGGGGTCCTGGGGCTGGGCACACCGTGGTGGCTCATGGACGCCTGGGTAGAGGGGGTGCACTTTGGTGGGGGCCAGCCTGCAGCAGACGGGGTGGCGACTTGCCCTTGGGGACGTTGGCAGGAGCTCAGCCACCTCTGGGTGCGCAGGGTGTCAGCATGCCTCAGCACCCCAAGCGCGGCCTCGGGTGCAAGCAGACAACAACAGGTCCTGTTACTCTAGGGAGGGGCTCGCTCTGCTTCATCAGCGTCCTGACTGAGCCAGCAGGGGCTAGGGCCCAGGGAGGGCCCCGTACACGGCGCCCTTCACCCCAGGTATTCACGGGGATGGCTCCCTGCAGGGCTGGGACAGCATCCATGCCCTTACATGGTACTTCAATCACAGAGCTCCCGTGCTGGGTGGCCGTGGTGACAGTGCGTGGAGGGGAGACTTCAGACGGTGGTGAGCGGAGTTGACCCTACGTCTGCAAGATGGTGGGGCCCGTGGACAGTGGCTCTGTCCAGGTGGCAGACAGACAGATGACGTGTGTTCCAGGACTTCTTGGGGGAGTCTGTCTCTGAATCATATTCTGGGGAGCAGATTTGATTCCCCCCCAACCCGTGTTGTCTTTCCTTATCTCACGGACACTGTCTTTTTCAAGGGCCTTCAGCTGGTCTGTCTGGTCAGCCTCCACTGCGTCCTGAGGGGTGTTTGCAGCAGGACCGCGGGAGGCACGGGGCTGTCCAAGGAGGCCGAGGCTCAGTGTGGCCTGCCTTGTGAGCAGGGGCCTATCTAGGAAAATAGCGTGTATGGCAATTAGTTTTAAATAGCTGAATGACCTCACAGCTGGCAGTGGAAACTGGAATGGTCAATAGAAACTGCTCGTCCACGCCCTTTCCTCCCGCAGCCCCCAGGCACGCGCCCTACGTGCTGTGCCTTAGTTACACCTCTGGGTGGGTGAGGGTGCCGGCATGCGGGGGGACAGCTCTGGGGGCAGCAGGCCCTGAACCTCACCCCTCCACAGCTGCAGGCTGCTCCGGGAGCCCAGCTCTGACTTCTTGGCGTTGTGGGACCCCCCACTCCACCTGTCCCACTGCCGTGCAGTGATGGGGAATCTCCCAAGCCCAGAGCCACCCCAGGGCTGTGCTCAGGAGGAGCCAGGCGCAAAGACAGGTGCAGGAAACACCCTCTCCTCTTTAGTCTGTGGCTACAGAAGCAGCTGGGTGTCGAGGCACCCCCTGGTCACTTCAGGGAGCCGCCACCACACACCAGTGCCTGCGCTGATCAGGGCCTCGGGGCAGCACGCTGGCACCACAGCTCGGGTGTGTTCTCCAGCCCCACACCCAGGCCGGGCTCCACTGCAGATGCCGGGTGACGGTCCTCGGAACTCTCAGAAGCGTGGAGTTGCAGCAGCTTCTCACAGGTGGACGCCATGAGGGCAGGTGGACAAAAGGAATCCATTGTCACTGTTTTCATTCAGACGCATCCATCTGCCGGGGTGCCCGTGCGGAGGCAGTTCCCAGTGCCTCGTGGACAGAGGTGATGGCCGTGGCCACCCACCGTCCCAGCCTCAGGGAGGGCCTGCCGGGGCTGCAGAGCCTGCCATCCAGGTGACAGGAGCCTCGTGCCTTTAAAGGTGCAGGCTGCCGGGAAGAAGCCACCCTGCGCTCCGTCAGCCTTGCAGAAGCCCCGCTAGTCACTTAGAGGAGTCATTAAGCCGGTACTCACGGAGCCGTCAAAGTGACAGCCACCATCGAGTGACACGCAGGGAGCCATTAGCCTCGTGGCGGAGGGGGCGGGGGGCACGGCGTCCCCCGAGTCTCTGTCACTCAGCGCGGTGCACAGCTGGCGGCACCGCCCTCGTCCCACGGGTGCCGATAACGGCCCCGGGGAACACTTGTGGGCTTTTAAAAGTTTTTTGTTTTTTTCATAATTTTTACAGGTTATATTCTAGGATAAAAAGCTACAAAGCGGCACATGAAAATCCCATTTTGCTTCTTCATGGGCGCTGCTGACAAAGGGCTGCTGGTGCAGGGGCAGAGGGCCATTTTGGTTTCTGGAGTAAAAAGCACGCATTTCCCAGGACGGTGCCCGGGCCCCTAGTTTCCAGACACCCCGTGGGATACAGGGCCCCTTCCCGGTGCCTGCGGAGGGGTTCCTCTGCCCAGGGACACCTCACTTTCATCGCGGAGCAGCTGGAAACGTGGTCAGAGTGGGCTGGAGATGTCCACGGTGGGCAAGGTGGCGTGCCGTGGTGGGCGGGGGGGAGCCGAGGGTCAGGGCCTCCGCGTGTCCTCTCGGGGGACAGGTCACCACAGCACCCTCTGAGCCTCCGTTCCTCACCCTCAGCTGCGAGGCCCTGTGGCTGAGAACTGACGTCTGGGCTGTTTTTGCAGAGGGAACGTATGTGGAAACAGCCACAGTCTTTAAACACAGAGACGCCTGGGCTCTCCGAGAGGCTCAGGACGCCCAGGGACACGGCAGGTGCTCTGGGCCTGGCGTGTGGACAGGGAGGCCGGAGCCACGGGGCTGGCGCGTGTGGGGAAACCCGCCCCAACGGTGAGATCTAGGCTCCCCAAGTCCTTGCCAGGGCGCTGGCCGGAGCACAGCCTCCGAGGCCCTACGTGGCATTGCCTTTAGCGGCACCTTTGATCTCTGGGACGTTTCATCCCAAAGTTCACATTATAAAATAGGCCTTCTCAAAAGGGGTTAGTCCTGGGCTTGTCCGCGCTACCGTAAACCTAAGCTAGGAGCCGCACCAGGAGTTCCCGGAATAGGAACCAGAGCTTCATGAAGGATGTTTGTGGTCCTCCGTTTCCAGGGCCTTTGCTGTGAAAGCCTCAGTGGAACCAGGCATGGGGGTGTCGGGGCCGGCGAAACCGTCCTGGAGTTAGTGTCTAACTAAAAACCAAAACCCACTGCCATCGAGTCAGCCCCGACTCACGGCAACCCCATGTGTGTCCGAACTGTGCTCCACTGGGTTTTCAGTGGCTGAGTTTTCAGCAGTAGATTGCCAGGCCTTTCTTCTGAGTGCCTCTGGGCAGCCGAGCATGTTAACCATTTGTATCACCCAGGGACTCCTTTGTACAGCACGTGAGAGCGGCCGCTGTCTCTCTGTCTCCCCCTAGAGAGAAGGGCCTGAGTGTGGACCGCATGGACACAGCGCTTGGCGGGCCCCCTCAGTGCTCCTGCAGAGGACGTGGTTTCCTTCCCGCCTGCCTCACACGGCGCTCCTGGTGTCTCGGTGGTGCTCACCCACTGCTGGAGGCAGTGTCCCTGGCAGCATGTGGCTTGTTTATGTTTTCTGGGGACAAGTCCCCTGCCACGCCACTGGGAGAACAACAGCTCCTTGCGCGGATGGCACAGCTGCGGGAGCGCGGTGAGGTCCAGGCACAGAAGACAGGAGCAGGTGGGGTGGTGAGGCCCGTGAGTGCCGGGGGCAATGGACCTGTGAGAAGCCCCACAGTTCAGGTATTGCCCCCTGTCCACCAAACAGGGTCGGAGTCCCGTGCGCTCAGAGGGCCCAGTGTGTCCTGATGGCCATGACTCTGTCCACCAGAGTCTCACTTTGATCGGTGCCATTCAGATAGCATCTTATGTGGCATCTTGTGTGGCAAGCAGGTGACAGCTCAGGGGCCCGGCGCTCCAGGCACCACGCCATCCCAAGGGCCCCAGGGGCAGTGTGCTACAAAGGCCCAGATATCAAGGTGTGGAGCAGCAGAGGGCAGGACCCCGTGGGCCGAGGGGTGTGAAGATCCTGGCCGCAGCTCTGGGTCCCTCACAGGGAGCTCTTTGTCATTTCCGATAGAGAGGCTGCTGTTAGCTCATGATGGCCGCGTCCACAGTGGACAAACGCCCTCTGGTCCTGCACCATCCAAAGGGTCTGTTGCAGATTGGACCGCTGTGATCCACATGGTTTTCATTGGCTGATTTTTGGAAGTTATTCTCCAGGCTTTTCTTCCTAATCCATCTTAGCCTGGAAGCTCTGCTGAAACCTGTTTAGCATCCTGGCAACGCACACGCCTCCACCGGCAGACAGGTGGTGGCTGTGTATGAGGTGCACTGGCCGGAAATCAAACCCAGGTCTCCCACACGGAGAGCGAGGATTCCGCCACTGAGCCGCCAGTGCCCCCTGCACAGACACACATGGAATTTACATTCAAAACTCACAGGCATGTTGCACCTCTGAGGAGCCGCTCCCGTCTTTTTTAAGGACTGTTTAAGTCAAACCGAGTTTGGTGAGATTCTCTCTTCGTGAAGTGTTTGGCTGTCGTTTAATGTTACCTTTCGCACTCCTCTTGTGCTCGTTTTAGGATGGGAATCCCAGCTTCTGGAGACAGGATTCCTGGGAATCTTCCTGTGCCCTCTGTGGACGCTGTCCCGGTTACCCAGACGCACCCCGACGTCCCGGATCGTCGTGTGGGGGTTCCGGTGGCTTATTCTTAGAATCATGCTCGGAGCAGTAAGTGGAACTTCTGTTTGTCCTGTTTGTGTTTTGTTCTTTTGTACGTAGGGTCGCTATGAGTCAGAGCCGACTCGATGGCACCCAACAGCAACATTTGTCAGAAAGACAGAAATTTCCCTCATACTCTGATGTCCTCTTTTAATGTGCTTAGTAACTGCCCCATCATTCTGTTCCTTTTTTTTCCATTCTTTTTCTCTTTGCTGTCCAGTTTAGAAAAGTTAGAGCGCCCTGTCTTCAAGCTCACGGATTCTTTCCCTGGCCACACCCAGTCTCCTAATGAGCCCATCAGAAGACCCTCATTTCTGTTAGTGTCTTTGGTTTCTAGCATTTCCTTTTGATTCTTTCTTAGAATGTCTATCTCTCCACCTACATTACGCATCTGTTCTTGCACGCTGTCCACTTTTTCCATCAGAACCCTTAGCATATTAATCATAGGTATTTAAATTCTCATTCTGGTAATTCCAGAATCTCTGCCATAATTCCAAAATCTCTGCCACATCTGGGTCTGGTTCTGATGCTTGCTTTGACTCTTCAGTCTGCGTTTTTTTTGTTTTTGGCTTTTTAGCATGCCTGATAATTTTTTGCGGAAGGCTGGACATGATTCATGGGGTAAAAGGAACTGAGGTTCTTTCTGTTGTCACCCCCTGGTGACATGTGATGTTGATGTGGTGGTAAGGTGTAGGGGAGGGGAAGTGTTCTCTGATGGTTGGATCTCAGCCTTTTGATGAGCCTGCGACCTTCAAGTGCTCCTCAGCTTTTCTTCTTCACCTCTAGGTGAAACAGGAAGGCTAGAGGGGCTGGCACTGGGTATTTCCCTTTCTCCATGTCAATTAGGATCTGATAAACCCATGTTGGTTTGGCTCTGGTCAAGTAGTTGCCCTTGAGGGCGTTTGGTTGTTCAGAGAGCATTATTTCCAAATGGTTAGTTTCCCCCCAACCCTCTGGACGCACTACGGGGTTTTCCTCTGGGCTGAGAACCTTGTGGGGCTCCTGGAGGTGAAACTCACAAAAGTCTGGGCCTCCCAGGAGTTTCTGCCTCTCAAGGTCACAGACTTTGAGGGGTACAGAGGGACACGTAACAGCCTGGGGTCAGCAGGCTTAGGGTCAGGGCCCAGGCACGGCCCACCACGTCCACTCAGACTGCCCAGCCTGCTGGTAAGAGGCTGCAGGGCCCCCCCCCACAACTCCATGTTCTGCCCTGGTCAGCCATGTGAGGGGCTGCAGGGCCCCCCCAGCTTCACGTTCTGCCCTGGTCAGCCATGTGAGGGGCTACAGAGCATTCCCAGCTCCACGTTCTGTCCTGGTCAGCCATATGAGGGGCTACAGGGCATCCCCAGCTCCACGTTCTGCCCTGGTCAGCCATGTGAGAGGCTACAGGGCCCCCCACCCAGCTCCACGTTCTGCCCTTGTCAGCCATGTGAGGGGCTGCAGGGCCCCCCCAGCTCTACGTTCTGCCTGGGCAGCCATGTGAGGGACTGCAGGCCCCCCGCAGCTCCACGTTCTGCCCTGGTCAGCCATGTGAGAGGCTACAGAGCCCCCCCTAGCTCCACGTTCTGCCTGGGAAGCCATGTGAGGGACTGCAGGGCCCCCCCAGCTCCATGTTCTGCCCTGGTCAGCCATGTGAGGGGCTGCAGGCCCCCCCAGCTCCACGTTCTGCCCTTGTCAGCCATGTGAGGGGCTCCAAGGCCCCCCCTAGCTCCACGTTCTGCCCTGGTCAGCCATGTGAGGGGCTGTGGTGGCACCAGTGAGGGGAAGGAGGCCTGGAGGAGGACAGAGACACGTGCAAGGCCTCAGAGTGCGCACTGTTCGGAGTTGGCGCAGTTGGCAAGGTTTCTGGCCGAGCGTAGAATTTGAGCAGCTACAGCTATTCAGAAACACTGTTCTGGGGTGAGGGCGTGGTGGTCACTGTGTGCCCAGGTTCCAAAGGAAAGCGCGGTGATGTCTCCAACTTCATCTGTCCACTTAGTTAGAAAGATAGGAGTCATTTTCACAGTTCCTTTTAATGAAACACTGGACTTCCTAGTTGTCGCTGGTCATTACACAGGTATTCTTAGCTGTTCCTCATCCATCTTGAGCTTAATTTCAGATTCTTCCCTCAGCTGGTTTCAATGTGCATAAAAAATGTATGAAGTGTTTGCAAAGGACTACACGCGGGAGCCCGAGGAAGACAGCAGCTGTTTCAGGTGGGGCAATGTAAAGCTAATAACTGCCGGATAAAGAGCTGTCAGGCTGTTTTATGTAAGGCTTGTGGCACCAAGAGATGAACAAACCCCCACAATGCCTGACAGAATCCAGCAAATTATCAGCACCTTCGAAAGCACCTTTTGTGGCATTTTGATTGACTGTTAGTGCCAGCTGGATAAAAAATTATGAGGTGCACTAAAAGGTATAATTACTTGATTTAGTCTGTATGTTGGCTGTTATCAATCTTCCTGCAAGTGGAAACCACGGAGATAGAGTTGGCTTCATAAAAAAGAATGACGGTAGCAAAATGGCCGTCCATTTAGGAGGTGAGAGAAAACCACGGCAGATGCCAGTGAGTTATCAAAACTGCCCAGTGGACAGTGGATGGAGCTGGTGGGCATGGCAAGCAGACCCTTGCTGCAGGTGCTTCTGCTGCCTGGGTCAGACCTGGCACCACAAAATCAGAGGGGTGACTGTTGAGATTGCTCAGAAACCGGCCACTTAGGTTTTTGTGGTCTGGAGTATTTCCAATGCCCCTGAGAAGCAGATTGGTTCCTGTAGAGCTGAGTTGCAGAATTTCCGATGGCTGTTCAGGTGAGGACACCTGGGCAGAGAGAGAGGGTGATCGCATAGTCTTTGCGGTCCAAGAAGGCCTGGTCTTTCCCAGTGGGGCCCAAGAGGGACCTTCAGTGCTGCTTACCCATCCTTAAGCAGTTTTACATTTATCAACTCTCTTAACCCTCATAAAAACCCCATGCAGTGTCCATGGTGAAGCTGACATCAGGATGCCTGTTATGGTAGAAGACCTAAGCCCTGTTCCTGTAAATGTGACCCTGTTTGGAAGAGGGTTTTTTTTCTGTTAGTGAGGCTGAGCCAGGGCAGGATGGGTCCTAAACCTCATCACTCAGAAGTTAATCAGGGTTAACGTCATCAACAATAAGACATACTCATCTTATGTACCTCTTGATACGGTGACCAGGAAGGATGCCGCACCACTTAGGTTGTGTTAGTGCCAGAAATGTGTAGCCTTAATCTTATCACAAGAAACATCAGACAGACCCTAAATGAGGGACATTCTTCAAAACTGCCCAACATTTTCAAAAGTCTGAGAGTCATGAGATGCAATTAAAGCCTGCTTACAGAGTCAAGATGATGTCTGCCAGGTGTCTCCATGGTAAAGTTACGCATTTCCCCCTTTGTAATTAATAAATATCTTGGAATAGATACTTTGAGACAGTGCAGATATCTTGTTTCTCCTCCTGAGAACAGTCAGATTGGGAGAGACTCGGGGCATGACAAACAAATCCAAGCGGAATCCTGGGTTGGATCCTAGTACAGAAAAAGTCAACTAGTGGAAAAACTAGTGAAATTCAAATAAGGTCAGTAGTTGAATTCATAGTATTGAGTTAATAGTGACAGGTACATCGGAGCACTGAGCTACTTTCACAACCTTTCTGTAAGTCTAAGATTTATTCAGAATAAAAAGTTAAAGAGAAATATTGTAAGCAACCTTATGCACAGGAATTAGACAACTTAGACGAGGTGGTTAAATGTCTTCAAAGATATAGATTACCAAAACTGACAGGAGAAGAAATAGAGATTCTGATTAGTCCTGTAAATTGAGATCATTCAAACAAACGAACAAACAAAAATACCTTCCCTCTAAGAAAACTTCAGACTCAGAAGGCTTCACTTATGAGTTCTACAAAATAATTATTTTATTTAATATTTAAGTTTAAAATAATTATTTTATGTAAAATAATTTAAGGAAGAAATGATACCAATCCTATACAAACTCATTCAGAAAACAGAGGAGTGAGAACCCTTCCAACACATTTTTATGAGGCCAGCATACCTCTGTTAAAAAAAATAATAAGTCAAGGAAATTTCAAGAAAAGAAAATTACAGAGCAATATCGTCCAAGAGCGTAGACTCAGGAAATATTAGCAAATTAAATGCAGCAGTACGTATAAAGCATAATGCATCAGGACCAAGTAGAATTTTTCTCAGGAATGCAAGGTTAGTTCAACATTAATAAATTAATGTAATTCAGCAAATTACCAGAGTAAAGGAGGAAGATATAAAATCATATGATCATCTCAATAGACGGAGACATAGCATTAGACATAATCAAACACCCATTCGTGGTTAACAACAACAACGACAACAAAGTTCTCAGCAAGCTAGGAATAGCAGGAAACTACCTCGACCTGATAAAAGACAAGTACCTAAAACCTACAGTTAATACCGTACTTAACGCTGAAACATCGAATGCATTTCCCATGAGATTGGGAATGAGGAGGTAGAGATGTCCACTGTCATCACTTCTGTTTGGCAATGTAATGGAGATCCTGGCTTGTGCAATAAAGCAAGGAAAAGGATTAAAAGGCATCAAGATTGGGCAGGAATAAGTGGAATCACCTGTATCTGCAGATGAAATGATCGTGGATGTGGATCATAGGGAACGCTACACCTCATGAGTAACTTTAACCAGGTGGTAGGATCCCAGGTTGACAGACAACAGTTAAGCACACGGCCCCTGACCAAAAAGCTGACGGTTTGAGCTCAGCCAGCAGCTTCACAGCAGAAAGACCTGGCAGGCTGCTCCTATAAAGGTTTGTTGTGAGCCATCCATCAATTCTGACTCCTAGCGACTCTGTGTGACAGAGTAGAACTGCCCCCGTAGGGTTTCCTAGGCTGTAATTTAGAAAACTTTTGGGGGCATATCTTAATTACCTAGTGCTGCTGTAATGGAAATATGACAAGTGGATGTCTTTAACAAAGAGAAATTTATTCTCTCACAGTCTAGGAGG